TTTCCAATCACCTGCGGTCGGGGCGCAAAGTGGAGCTCCTCCTCCGTAGCTGGGATAAGATCATCGGAGTGCGCAAGCGCCCCCGCCATCTCGCGATCCGAGTCGACGGGCACGTCGCAGCCCCCGATGAACTCCACGCGTGCAGATTGCCCCGCGATAGGTATGCCCAGCCAGTCTGCACGGTCGATCTCATCGCGGCCAACGTAGATCTCCTCGAAGTGCTCGTTGGCGCACCTCTCGAGGGGCACGCTGGGGCTCAGATACCTTGCGGACGCGAAATGGACAGCGGATGTGGGTTTGTCGTCAAATTCGGCGAGAAGAGTCTCCCAGGCGACATACTGAATGTCGACATCGGTTTGAGCCGAATGCACCGACGGACCCCCGCCTCTCCCATCGCCGCGGGGGCACTCGCGACGAGAATGATGGGTGCGATGGCAGATATCACGTTTCATGGTTTTACCGTTGGCATCTTTCGGGCTGCCCCGGCGTCCCCTACCTTTTCCTGAGGTGCGCCTACGGCCTCTACCTGTCCCCAGGGATCTCTCTTCATACTGTGGTGCCGTAAGGGATGCCAAGAATGCCAGCATACCTCTGCCATGCAATCTCCGTCGTTTACCCTTGCCTCTACCCGTGCCCTTCGACCTGAACACCCGTCGGATTGCGCGTCGCACCTTTCGAACCGGTTTCTCCATTCATGAGGCGTCTCTATCGGCGCTTGTGCTTCTGGTATCCTAGGAATAGCCACTGCGCCTGCTGCTCTTCAGTAAGATACACAGGCGTGTCAGAGAAACCCAGGTTACCAATTCCCTCATCTGATGAGGTGTCAGTGTCAATGCCAGAGTCAAATTCGAACTCAACGGGTTGCCCCACCGAGCCTACGAGGGTGGTGGATTGGGTAGGGGCCACCGTTGCCGACGGTTCCTGATATCGAGCCCAGGAGTCTTGCGACTCCGTGGGCTGGCCACCCTGTCGGCTTAAGAAAATGGTGGCCTCGGTTGGTTGTGGATCGTCATTCCAGACGTTGTTAGCATGTTGCCCTGCATGAGTGTCGGCCTAAAAGACGCCAATGCGGTGGCCATGGCTGAATACGCCACCAATGTTGCCAGGGATTCGCTCAGCAATATGAGCATAAGCTCCCATGCGCTCTAGTACGGCGTCAAGCTGCTGCTGAGTCCTTGGCATTTGGTGGCTCAGTGGTTGTAGTAGTTGCTGCGCACGCGATGTACTAACACCTGGGGCTCTAACCAATCTATATGTCAGGATGTGGAATTTTGGGATGTTAAAGCCTGCGGCGTCGGCTTCGTAGCGTGCTATCTCGAAGCGGGCCAGCGCCTGGTCAATTCGTTCTCCCGCGTGGGCGTGAAACTCAATGAGAGCCATTCCCGAGTTGAGCTGGCGTTCCTCTTCCAGCTCTTCGAACTTAGTACTGACGAGGAGCATGGTATAGGTGACGCCATCGGTGTGGCGACCACCGATATTAACACCGAAGTCAATCACTGCGGGGGATCTCTCATGGCTATGGTCCTTGCGACCCCCCCAGACCACGCTGTAGAGCCGCAGCCTGTTGGGAAGGGGGTCGTAGTGCCTGTGGCTAGGCTGATCCAGGCATGTACCTCGCGAGCGAATTCGCGAAAAAGTACATTACCGGCAGGGTCCCACTGGGAGCCGGTGGTACGTGTGTCGTCTCCACCACGCTGCATGTGTTCAAAAACACATCCGATAGCGACCCATAGAAGGCAAAATATGGTAATACCAATCCAGTGGTCTCGTAGGTCGTAGTCGGTTGTTTATGGCTGTTGTTTGTGCGGTGACGTGGCCGTCAGCTTGCGTGGGGGTGGAGGCGGCGCAATGTCGTATCGCATGTTGCCACGCATCGGATCTTCGAAGAAATTACCCAGTGGTGTAAGCGGGTGGACTTCAGGAGTGTGGTAGAGAAGAAAAGTAGGACTCAAGTCGGAAACCTCCGCGTGAGCAGAGGCAGCGCTGCAAGTGTCCTTGCGATTGTGCGTATGTATACACATTCCTCCGCGAAGAGCCACTGCACTCTGATGTTCCACCATGTCACTAGTCCAGCATATAGTGCCGTGTATGGTGAGGAATGGAGCGATAGCTGTCCTCCACCGGACAGCTCCGCTACCAAGTTTGACGGGGGTCGGGAAGCCCGACCAGATGCTTCGCCCAAGGCGGAGCCCGTATTCAACTCTGAAATACAGTAGTAGCGATAGTCCCACGAGCAGAAGGAGTCGCGGGAGCGACGAGCCATGCCAAACGAAGACGATTTCGGTCTCAATGGCAAATACTCTGCCTCGCGATGAGGCGCAATCATATGTTGGCGGCCGGCCGCTTGAGCACAAACGGCCGCGGACAAACGCTCGCTACCTCTCGCCTTTGCCCAACCTCCTTTAGAGTCCCGCGGGGTCCTTATTTGGGGAGGGGTTGCCCTTCCCCTTGCGCCCTCCCCTGGCTCTGGACGGAGGGGGCGGCGCGGCCATGGGGGCCAAGATGGCTCAAGAGGATTCGAAAAGAGCCCCCGATGCCTCAAGATTACCTCCAGGGAGCACAAGACAGCCCTAGATGGCTCAAGGTAGTCTGAGATGAAGCATCAACACCAGTCGGAAATGGCTTCAGGTGGACCTGAAACCACTACAGGAATCCCACGATTCAAACTCCTGAGGAAGACAAGTGTGGTTGTGCCATCGCGCCATCTCGCTTACTGTGGCCCTCCTGACCTCACGATGGCCCCAAGCTGAACTACGGAAGCCACAGCATGGCCTGAGGAGGCCCCCAAGACGGCGCCAAGAGCACCTAAGAGCACCCCTATGCAAAAAAGGCTTTTAGGGTCACAAGGGGGGCAGAACGCCTCTCCCCCATCCTACCTCCACCCCGCAATGATCTTCGAGAAGGGGCCAAGAATAGCTCCCACAGGCTTCGAACCTTTCCCAAGATAGATCCAACATGCTCCCGAAAATGGCTGCCCCGATACGCAACACGCAAAACGTAGCGTACTGATACGGAGCTCACCACATAGATTGAAAACGTAGGTATGGCGCGATACGTTCACCAAAACGTGGGCCAATACGTTGAGCGAACACGCAACGTATTGAAACGGGCGAATTCAAAAACGGGCGTATTCAAACACGGGCGAATACGCAACCGTTTTGAACACGGTGCATGTTGCATATTCACACGGGCGTATCGAGGCAGCTAAGCCTCCGATACCTCCATTATCATAATTGCGACTATTGTTAGCACCCCTGCTCTCTGCTTCACACCGTGCCCAACAGCCCTTATGACGCCAGTCAATTGTATCTGGCGGCCAGTTTACCTTTACAAGATGGTCAATTGGAAGTAACCGCGGCCATTTAAAGGTAGTTGAAGGAGAACTACCATTCACTGACCGCGGACAGTTATCTTTGATTAGCCCGCGGCCAAAGGTAGCTCACCGTGGGGTACCTGTGAGTGGCGGAGAGGTGCCTTTGCACCGACGGTCAGCTAAAGGTAGCTGGCCGACGTCAGTCGAGTGTAATTGGCCGTCTGTGATAAATAAATGACCGTCAGTAAGGAGAACTGACGGTGAGCGACCTTTAACTGACAGCCAGCGGTAGGAAACTCACCGCGATTAGTTAAAAGGTAACGCACCGCCAATTTCCTGTACATGACTGTAAATTCAAGGTAACGCAATGTCTGCTACGTCTAACTGACAGCCAACTACCTTGAACCGACCGTCGTTAAAAAGGTAGCTGGCGGGCAGTTACCTGAATCTGACGGCAATCAATTACCTTTAGCTGGCCGCCAATACAGGTAACACACAGTCATACCTGCTACCTTTAGCTACAGGCCACTTAAAGATAAAAGGTGGGGGGCACCACTCCTGTCAAACAGCGAAGCACAATTCCTCTTTGCGGAAACATGTTGGACTATTCCCAGGGATCCCAAGATCACGTTGCACTGCTCTTTGACAGGCGTGTTGTCTGGTGCTCGGGGGCTCACCATTCCTGTCAACAAATCAATGCTACTTGATTTCTGGTGCACACAGCAAACGCCATGCTGACCATCCGGTCGCCATGCCACACTAGCATTTGACAAGGATGTTGGGGAAACGACATGAATTCCAATGTGTGCTGTTACGTGTACTGGCGCACCTGGCGCACTCTGCGCGCGCTGCGCACCTGGCGCACCTGGCGCACTAGGCGCCTGGGTCCCTGGGGACCCCGGCGCACTTGGCGCACGTGGCGCTTTTGGCACGCGCGGCCCAACTCGCAAGCGTCGCGCGCCAGCGTCGCGCGCCTGGCGTCTGTGTTGGTTCCAAGTGGCTGCCCATCCAATGGCGATCCCTTCTATGCCGAGACTCGGGTGCTACTGATGTGGTGAGAGGGCAGGTAGGAGTGAGCGAGACGGCTTGCGGGTGCGGAGGGTGTAGCTTGACCCTCCTCTTGCCCTTTTCCCCCTGGGTCTGGACGGGGGGCGGGGGGGCGCGGGTAGCTGGAAAGCCAGCGAGGAAGCGCAAATCATTGAGGGATCCAAGGTTTTGGGCCTATGTTGGCGTCCTGGGGGGGCGGACCTGATGTAAGCAGCCCTCTTTTTTCGAAGCAACCATAATGGTTCCAAAACAGCCTGACATGTCGCTAAGAGATGGCCAAGAGGGTGCCAAGAGGCGGCCAAGAAACCCCAAGAGGCAGCCGAGAGGCGGCCAAGAGGCTCCCAGAGGGCCCTCCGGAAGCACCCAAGACGCTCCGAGAGGCCTCCAATGACCCAGCAGGGGGCCCCAAGACGTCCCAAGATACCTTTAAAGAGCTCAGGCCAGCTCCACTGGGCATCGTGTCTGGATGGGCTGGTTGGGGATACGCGGAGTGCCAAGAATCTGACGTCTTTCAATGGGTGAGAGGGGGAGGGGAGAGGGGGGAGATGAAGGGAGAGAGGGAAGGGAGACCGGGGACGAACAGCACGGCCCCAGACCCCACCATCAGCTGCGCCACCGCGACAAACCCTCGCGATGGGGCCTGCAGCAACATCATCGCCTGCTCCACGCCATCGCCACTGCCGCTCGGCTCCCAGCCGGAGGCGCCGCCGTAAACGAGCAGGCGGTCGACCTCGGCCTCTGGAACCGACGCCTGAGCGGGGCTGGGGGTGCAATGCCCCTGGGAGATCGACAGGGAGCAGACCACCAAGAATCAGTCCAAACTCCAAATTGGGGCCTTACTAATACCACGATGGGCTCGACTGGAAACTCCAGTCCTGCAGAGACGGCAGGCGAGAAAGCTTTTCAGCAATGCTTTGAGACCCACTGCTGTGCGCTTTGGGGTGATTCATTGTAGAAGCTCGGTGTGGCCCAGGGTGAAAGTTTGGATTCATAGCAGAAGGACGGCCACTACGCTGTTTTTCACGTTCCCGACATGTTTTGTGGTTTGTGTGCTCGGTTATTTGCCGAGGCTTCCTGCGCGTCTGCAAAGCAAGCGTGCTTGTTCTGTTGCCTCCCCGTGATCTTGCTCCTCCTCTTGCTCGTTGACACTCCTACCCCCGCAACCTCATCTCTCTCGCCTGCTTCTTCTACGCGTCCTGCCAACACACGCAACTATGCGTTGTCCAAGCCTGTGCAAGCGTCAATGCGGCACGGTGGCTAGATCAGTGCGTGCTTTCTGTTGCACGTGGGATTTCAAACGTGGGAAAACGCTGGGTTCTATCAACCATCCTAATTCTACAAAGCCGCTGCTGTACCTGGTGTCGGTGAACGATGGCCGTACAAGCGCGCAGTGTCTTATGCACCCCGCGCGTTCCGCGTAGCTCTCAGATGACTGGAGAGCTTGGGACCAAGCCCCTGCCTCACTCTGGACCTGTCGTGGCGCTGGTCTCGATCGCGGCCCCACGAGCGGCGCTCCGCTGCGCAACGACCGCAGGAAGTACCTTCGCTGGGGACCCCTCGCCGGCGCCAGGGGGCAGGTGGGCCTCCAGCTGCGACGGCGCGGGGGCGTCCTCGTCGCTGTCGGAGTCGTCGTCGTCGTCGTCGCTGTCGTCAGCGCAAAGCACGCTGGCATGCGCCTTCAGCAGCTCGTAGGCTGCCACCACGCCCGCGCGCAGCGCGCACGGCAGCGCGCTCGCCCCGTCTACGGCCTCAGCTCCCAGAGCACGTACGACGCGGAGCGCAACTTGCGAAGCCGACTGTGCGACATCCCCCTCGCGGGTTGTAATGGCAAGTCGCGCACGCTGGGCAGCGCGCCTGGCGCCGTCAGCCACGGCCCTGGACACGACGACGGCCTCCCGGCGAACAACTCGGTGGGTAGCATGTCCTGCCGCCAGTGCCGCGCTGCCCGCGCGCTGGCCTGCGTGGAGCAGCCGAGGAAGCCTGCTGACCCAATCTGGTACTGGCTGCACCCCCAACCGTCTACAAAGCTCAGAGGCAAAACTGCAACAATTCCGGCCGAATAGCTCGTAATCGGCGCCCCTCCATTGCTGGCACATGCTCCATGCCAGAGTCGCAAATGCTGTCCGGTCCAACAACGTCCTGCCCAAAGATATGGTACAACAATAAGTATGTGGATTGCCGTGCACGGCGCGCGGCGCCGATGCGTCAACACCATAGCACCCATACGACCATTCAGAACCAAACACCTCGACGCCGGCGTGGAAGGCGCCCCCCACCGCCACGCGGCCGCGTGAGGTAACCTTGTTGGCGCGGCGGAACCTGTTGTTCAAGTCGTATACGTGCAGGAGCACCACCTTCACACCAGAGCGCCGCAGAGCCAAGCGGGTCCAGCATCAGTCAACTAGGCCCTGGCCAACCTGGAGAACTGCTGTCTGGCCAGGGCCTGCTCGACTAATTGGGACCCCCTTGGGCATCTTGGGCGGGACGGGTGCACCACAGGGCCTCTCCGGTGTTCAGCAAGTCGTCGGAATCGCCGACAGCCGCAAGCTGCCGCCATGTCGTGTGGAACACTGGCAGGGGACCACCGCCAGCAAGCGTGGGCGGGTTCTCCACCGCAGAGCGCACCGCGCCCTTGCCAGCCTCGAGACGCGGCCCATTCTCCCAAGGACTTGGGAGCAGTCAGGGAGGCAGGGGCGCAACAAAAAGGCTGTCGACTCGGACTTCCGCCGTCACGGAAACAACATAACCTCGGGGCGCTGGGACCGACGTCGGGATTTGTACTGGGATTATCCGCGCCAGAGAAGGAGCCCCCCAAGTGCACGCCCCGGACAGCAGAGAGAGAGAGAGAGAAGAGGTGACATTTTTTTTGTTGGGTGTCGCGGTGCCAGAGGTCGCGCGGCGGGTCATCACCAGCAACGTGAAAAAAAACACGACAAGGCGAGGTGGAGGGCGGCCGCGGAGGGGGGGAAGCGGGCCGCGCCGCACTGAGACTGTGCCGGTCCTCAAGCGCACTGTGGCGGCCGCAAGCTCGGGGCAGGGGTCGTGCGAAGCGGGGCTGCTCTGACCAGGACTGACCGGGGAGTGCTGGAGAGCAGTGCATCCCTGCCAGGGCGCGGGGAAAGCGGTCGTCCGAGCGAGGC